GGAATCGAACCCACAACCCTGGCGTAGTAAGCGCCATGCTCTACCAACTGAGCTACACAGGACTACAGAGGTAATTACAGTACCAGTCAAAAGTTTGGACACACCTACTCATTCAAGGGTTTTTCTTAATTTGTTACTATTTTCTACATTGTAGAATAATAGTGAAGACATCAAAACTATGTAGTAACCAAAAAAGTGTTAAACAAATCAAAATATATTTTATATTTGAGATTCTTCAAAGTAGCCACCCTTTGCCTTGATGACAGCTTTGCACACTCTTGGCATTCTCTCCTTGAAATGTTATGTGTTGTCTGACCTTCATGTCTTAAAGTAATGATGGACTGTCCTTTCTCTTAGCTTTTTTGAGCTGTTCTTGCCATAATATGGACTTGGTCTTCTGTATATTAACCCTACCTTGTCACAACACATCTGATTGGCTCAAACGCATTAAGAAGGAAAGAAATTCCACAAATTAACTTTTAACAAGGCACACCTGTTAATTGAAATGCATTCCAGGTGACTACCTCATGAAGGTGGTTGAGAGAATGCCAAGAGTATGCAAAGCTGTCATCAAGGCAAAGGGTGGCTACTTTGAAGAATCTCAAATATAAAATATATTTTGATTTGTTTAACACTTTTTTGGTTACTACATTATTCCATATGTGTTATTTCATAGTTTTGATATCTTCACAATTATTCTACAATGTAGAAAATAGTAAAAAATAAAGAAAAACCCTTGAATGAGTAGGTGTGTCCAAACTTTTGACTGGTACTGTATGTGTTCAAAGTTGCCCTCAGAGGGCTAGTACATGGAGTACAGTAAATACATACTGCAGGCTTTACTAAAAGTTATAGCCTACACATCAGTCATACGTTAGTGTTCGGAGTGTTTAGAGTAAATGTTATTTTACGCACACTACATAGCTGCTCCTCACACTCCCCCTCCATTTACGTTTGTATCTTTACCTCTTGTGAACCATGCCTATCTTTGCCTCATATTTCTGAACAGCTGAAATAAAAAACCCTGTGGTGATTTGAACAAACATTCCCAAAAATATTTATTGAAGGCTATACAACCTTCTCTGTTGTAACGGATATTGCAGTTGCACAAGCAGGAGGAAGTCCCTACACATTGCATTGGAGCAAAAACAATGAGCGTTTTGTGTGATGATGTACGCTAATCTATAGAAGGAAAAAAAAATGTAGGGGGTCGATCAGCTTTAATATTGCAGATAGATTGTGGCTTCTATGAATGAAATTGTCTGCGTCATTTCCAATCCCCCAGATATATTTTTTGTAAATATTTACAGTATATTAATTTAAATATATATTTTTGTTATTTATTATTTTCCCCTAACCCTACCACCCCTCCCCTAATTGGAGAAAACTAATGGACAACAATACTTAGGTTTCGACTTCCAGCTTATACATACAACATACATTTCATGGACAGTATATTTTACATTAGTTATCGTTTGTTTGTTTTTAGTCCCAGCCTTCAGCTACCCTCAACCCCTCCCATCTCTCTCTGAAGACCATCCAGTTTTGATTTCTAGCTGCCATATATTTTTCCACTGTGCTGTAATGTTTCAGAAAAGTTCTGAACCTTTCTATTATCATAGTTTCTACAGATTGTAAATTAAAGATAAACACGTTTGCTAAGAGTATTATTATATTATTTAGCGATTGACTATGACTTTTCAAATCACCCAGCGTAGCTCCAAGTAAATTTAGCAATTTTTCAGCCATTCCTGAACCTGCTGTCAAGATCGTCTAACAGAGTGGACCAATGCGCAGCGTTGAATGCAAACATATTTATTCTCACTGAAGGCAACACGAACAAAACAACGAACGATACGTGACAGTTCACGGTTACCATAAACAGACTCGAAACAAAAACCCACCAACACGAATGAAAACCCGACTGTTTAAATATGGCTCCCAATCAGAGACAACCAGCTGACACTCGTTGCCTCTGATTGGGAGTCACTCAGACCAACATAGAAATAAGTAACCTAGACCCACAACAAAAACATAGAAACTAACACCCTGGCTCAACATACGAGAGTCCCCCGAGCCAGGGCGTGACACCTGCGACCAAAAACAAGCTACATATGGGCAGTACCAAAACAAGTGATCTAATGATTCTGTCTTTTCGCAGCAAAATCTGCAGAGCTGGGATGGTTGTATCGCCCATATATATAACATTCTATTGGTTGCAAGAATTTTGTATAATAATTTAAATGGAACAATTCTAAGTTTTGAATCCGGCGTCGTTTTGTGTATCAGTTCATAGACCATGTGCCATGGAATCGGTACATTGAAAATCTCCACCCAGCTATTTTGCAACCTGTATGGTGCAGCTGTCAATTGTTTGGTCCTTAAATGAAGCTGGTATACCTCTGGTATAATTTAGGTATTTGATGTAGGGCAGACAGACATGTTCCTTACCTTATCCCCTTTCCACTTGCCTCGTCCATTTTTGCGGTCAGTTGGTTGTAATTTTGGATAGAGCAGACATTTCCATTATTTTTGTTAACTGCATGTGTGACATAACTCCACCAGTCCTATTTATGAAATAATTTATAAAGATTATAAAGTTTTTGTTTTTTTATAATGTAAAAAAAAAAATCAATTTGTATATTTGAGTTTAACCATAATATTTGTTATAATATTTGTTCTGTCTTTTCTGGTGGATTAAACTGAAATTGCAACCAGCTTTCTATTGCTTGTTTTAAAAATAGCGATATTTTGGAGATTATTTCATTTTTAAATAATCGAAAGTGAGAGCTTGTAATCTGAATGAAGGAAAAAAGGCCATTCTTCAATATGGGGTGAGCCATTCTTACTAATCTGCTAGAGAACCAGTTCGGATTTAAGTATAGCTTTTGTATGACTGGAGCCTTTAGTAAGAGGTCCAATGCTTTAATATTTAATCATTTCTGCCCTCCGAATTCATATTCATTATATAAATAGGCCAGTTTAAATTTGTCTGTTCCAAATAAAGTGGAATACTTTTATGTCATTATATAAAATAAAAAATAAAAAGTTGTTTGGTGTAGGCAGGACCATAAGTAAATAGGTAAACTAGGATATGACTAAAGAATTAATCAGGGTGATTTTTCTACAAATAGACAGGTGTTGTCTTTTCCATGGCAGAAAAATCATATCTAATTTGGCTAACTTTCTATTAAAATGTATTGCAGTGAGATAATTTCTTCTTTCGGGATATGAATACCGAGTATGTCCACTTCCCCGTCGGAAGATCCAATACGTAATATGGTGCAATTATCATAATTCTGTTTAAATCCAGAGAGGGTTAGAAAAAATATCTAGATCCTCTGAGGCTGTGCAGGGATCCAAATTGTGGATTTAAAAGAAAACATGAATTGTCAGCGTACAATGGCACCTTTGTTTTTAAACCCTGGATTTCTAGCCCATTGATATTATTGTTGGATCTGATTTTAATACCTAACATTTTGATGGCCATAATAAATAGATATGCTGATAGTGGACAACCTTGTTTTACTCCTCTTGACAATGTAATACTTTCTGAGAAGTAGCCATTATTTACTATTTTACACCTGGGGTTACTATACATAACTTTAACCATTGTACAAAATTAAAATAGTCCAGGCATTTATATATAAATTCCAGTCGTACTTTATCAAAGGCCTTTTCAAAGTCAGCTATGAATACCAGGCCTGGTTTCCCAGATTTTTAATAGTGTTCTATTGTTTCCAGTACTTGTCTTATATTATCTCCAATTTATCGTCAATGTAAAAAAACCTGTCTGATTAGGATGAATAATATCCAACAAAACCTTTTTAATTCTACACGTTATGCATTTTGCTAGGATTTTGGCATCACAACACTGAAGTGTAAGGTTTTTTTTAGGTGGACGGATCTTTATATTTACCACCTGGGTCCTGTTTCAGTAATAGTGAAATCAGATCTTCTTGCTGAGTATCTGATAGTCTACCATTTCTATAGGAGTGGTTAAAACATGTTAATAACGGACCTTTGAGTACATCAACAAATCTTTGATATACCTCAACTGGTATGCCATCCAGCCCTGGAGTTTTCCTGGACTTGAAGGCTTTAATTGCATCTAGAAGTTCCTCCTCTGTAATTAGGCCTTCACATGAGTCTTTCTGTATAGCTGTTAATTTTACACTATTAATGGGAAAGAAATCCTTACAATTAACTTCAGTTAGTGGAGATGGAGGACACTGAAATGAAAACATATGCTTAAAGTACTTTGCTTCCTCTTTCAAAATATTGTTTGGTGAATCATGGATGACTCCATCATTTGTAACAAGTTTCTGTTAATTCTTAGGCTAATCTTTATAGTTGCTGCCATATTGTAGCCATTAACCAGCACCTGTAAAAATAATGTAACTCCCCACTTGAGTTTTGTATTTGGGGCAAAAAACAATCAGTGTTTTAACCACATATAGGCCCTACCAACTGCTATTGTGCTTCTCAATGATCAGGCAAGTAAGTACTGCACGAGTAGGCTACCTAGCTGCTCCACCTCTGGGCAGCTGAATGTTCTAGGCAGCCCGAGCATGTGTATCCAGACCGGTAAACAGAGTCTGATAATGAGCGAGTTCGTTTTGCGTCGCCTGGCGCCCGGTGTGGTATTATTCTTCACGTCGTTTGTCAACTACTGCTTTCGACTGCCTACTATTTGTGATGATAATCTTCATAGTTATGCTGCCGTAGCGAGAGTTGCTTTAGTGTATAACATGAAGTGGGAGCACTGAGCAGAAGCTACGTAGGCAGCAAAGTAGGTCGCAGCTACGTTAAAAAAAATCCTGCACCTGCGCAGAAATCTGTATCAATAGCCACGGCAAGTCGGGTTCCACAAAATCCGGAACTGTAGCCACTCCTGAAAGTATATTAGCTGGGCTGAGGCCCCTCTTCTTCCCTACCTGAGATCCCTCCCTCCCCTCTCCATCTGCCCCTACTCTCCCGGCTCCCTCCCGCCTCTCTCCCTACCCTCCTACACTACTCCCCCATCCCCCCTGCCCCCCTACACTCTCCCTACGTACCTCAATGTCTTGCATGGACTGGACGATGACCCCACAGCCCTCCCCTTGCTCCAGCAGGGCATGGTCAAAAGGGTCCATGAGGATGATCCTCTTCAGCCCGGGGGTTTCCTGCCTCTCCACGTTACCCAGCAGCACCTGGGCCTTCTCAGGCTTGTCGCAGATCACTGTGATGATGTCGGCTGAAAGACAGCACACAAGAGATCCGCATGCCTTTTGTGAGAACTAGAACACACATACATGATCCAATCAGCTAGTAAACACACAGCTAACTAACTACTGCTCTACAAACAGATTTCCCTTCCACGGCCTTGGAGCAGAGACAAATCCTGTTGGGGCACTGGGCCAAAACCAACACACTGTATCACTGAGGGGCAGTTGGAAATGTTGAAAAAAATGATGAGAGTGAGTTTTTTTTCTTTTTATTGCTAACAAGCATTGTTCAATACTGCGGATACATGTGCAAAACTCTAAATATAGTTATCAAAACAACATGCAACTTGGCAATGCACATCCTACATGTCTCAAAAGCGAATCTTTCTACCAAATGAAAGCTAAGAGTCTCTCATGACATGCACACTTTGTCATTCATAGTATCATGACCTACAAAACTCTAAAAACAGATACCACTTGAAAATGGGTCAATTTGTCTTTAATATCATATTTTTTTTAGATGAACCAACAGTCATTTTTACAAAGAAGAGTGGCAAACCTGTACTGTATAGAATGTCCTGCAAGATATGTAAAGAAATAAAGCAGAAAGGCTGCAATATGCTTCAATACAATTGACTGTATTTTTGCAAATTACTCTATTTTGCTTTTTGCAGAGTAATTCCAAAATACACAAAAATAAATAATTCCAGTACTGTTAAACAAACAAAAAGTGTATACACACTATGAATATGCATAGCATATTGTCCAAATGAAACAGATATATAACAATGCTAGTCAACCCTGTCTGCTGCATTGGGCCACAAGTTCTCTTCCACATCACACCTGGGAAAGAATCTCTTTGCATGCCTGATCCATCCCTGGCAATCTTCTGCAGAGATATCCAGGCATCCTGCATTCATTGCATCCAAGAGTGACATTTGATCATGTGGATGGTGGTCATAAACTTTCTACCTCCATGAGGAAAATAATTATTCTATGGGGTTGAGGAAGGGAGAGTAAGGGGGGAGTTAAAGTGACACCATCCCGGGATCGGCTGCAAACCACTCTGTGACTGCATGGAAGTGGTGAAATGCCACATTGTCCCATACAATCACCCAGATTTCCATATTTCTTCTGACTTGCCCTCTTTCTTCACCTGGCAAAAGCATTCCATAGAGGTCATCCATGAATGAAATGAGGTGCTCTGTGTTGTATGGCCCAATTAGTGGTTTATGTAACAGCAATCCTTCAGAGGATATTGTGGCACACATTGTGATGTTGGCACCCCTCTGGCCCGGGACATTCACTGTTGCTCTTTCCCCAATCACATTCCTTCCACGTCGGCGTGTTTTGGCCATGTTAAAACCAGCCTCATCCACAAAGACGAACATGTGGGGTGTTGGCCTGGCTTCAAGCTCCATGACACTCTAAAATATTGTAAATCCACAGGGCAACATAACAGTTATTCTATAACAGTAGTTTACATTACAGTATATTGTAACTGTGCAGTGCTCTGGTGGGTTTTGTTTACAGTAAAAACAGTACTGTGTTACAGGATATAGACATCTTACCTGGACATATTTGTACCGGAGTTCCATGACACGATCAGAGTTCCTCTCAAATGGGAACAGTGTACACCTGCTTCATGCTGATATGATGCTTTGTCAAGACTCTAGCAATGGTTGTCGTGCTTACACTTTCAACATTTTGAAATGTATTATTGTCTGCCAACACTCTCTCTTGAATTTCTCTGAGTTTTATGGCATTGTTGCTAATGACCATGTCAACAATTACAGCACTCTGAGACCAGCATCTCTCATTGATAGACCATGATTGACAACATGATCAATGATTGTAGCCCTAATCTCATCTGACACTACAACGCTGGGTCTTCCCCTCAGTCGTCTTCCACCACGGATACGTAATCCTCTGCCTCTCCCGACAACTCTTCCACCTCTGTTAGCCACTACACGATCTCTGGCTGGGTCCATGTTTATGTAAAATGTATTCCAAAGATGTCCCCTTTTGTAGAGATGGTAATGACATAAAAATGGAAAACACCTGGGTAGGTCTTCAGTTACGTAATGTAGAATGAAAATCAGATGTGAAAAATTAAGTTATTATTTATATTTTGCAGTCTCATTCAATTTTCAGTATCTTTTGAACTTGATTTTAACCGTTTTTATAAGGGTATCTTAACATTTGCATAATGGTCTGTAGATACATAGAGTTTTGTTGGTAAATGTGTTTTTGTGAGACAAATATTTATGTAATTTGAAAGATGTTGTCATTGAATGCATTTTGTGTCAAAGCAATGACAAATGATCCACAGGCTGCCACATAGTGTTGATGTGATAACTGTATTTAGAGTTTTGCACATGTATCCGCAGTATTGAACAATGCTTGTTAGCAATCGAAAATAACTGTAATGTTAGCTGTCTGATTAGTGTGAAACTAAAGAATGGAGAGCCCTGAGGTCATGGGAAAGAAGGAGAGTGTAACGACAGATCTCAAGGCCTGCTCCCTCCCAAACCCACTGAGCTAAGCTCATTACCTCCAGCATAAGGCAAAGGTGAGCCCTAGCCTGATTCCTGTGAGTATGCGGAGATAAAGGGATTGTGTAACTTAAACACAACAAAAAACAATTCTCTAGTCTAGGAAAAACTGTTATTCAGGAAGGGAAGGCTGAGTGTCTCAGCTTTTCATCCTTTCAGACACATCTATAGATTGTATGCATTTCATGACATTGCCAATGCAGCTTGATCAAGAAAATAATTAAAAGAACTGGACCATGAAACTAAAAGGAACATTCTCAGATCTATTGCTATGGGCTAACAGAGTAGACAGCACTACACTTACAGTAAGGCTCAGTCCCAATTGGCTCCCAATTCCCTATGTAGTGCACTACTTTTGACCAGGACCCATAGGTGACCTGCATGAGGAAAAGGGTGCCATTTGGGACACAAACATCAGAAAGCTGCTAGTCTTACCAGTGTTAATGATATACCGTATGGCATCAGGCCCTAGTGTGTCATACAGAGGCACCACCACCATAGAGTAGGTGTAGCAGGCCAGCTCCGAAATGATCCACTGTAAGTACAGACAGACAGGTCAAAAGGAGGTCAGCGTCGCCATAAAGATAATTAAAAAAGCCTCTACAAGTCGGGGCTGTTAAACTGTATATCATGTCAAAACATTTGTGAATCAGTGTCGTCCCAAATGGCACCCTATTCCCTATATAGTGCAGTATGTAGAGTTATGCAGTATGTAGAGAATATGCTGCCATTTGGGACGCACACAGTGTGTTGCTGTGATGATGACCTCACCTCTGGCCTGTTCTGTGCAAACACTCCGATGAACTGATCTGGGCTCGGCGTGCAGCCCTGGCTCAGCAGCCCCGACCCCAAGTGCTCCGCCCGGGTTGTGACCTGGAAGTCAAAAAGAAATAGGACAGCAGCTGAGCGTATTGGGAAACGAGAAATATCACAGTATAAAACAAAAACATACCTCTGCTCAACTCTCATGATGTCATAGATTAAATATTGGAGCGGAGCAGAGTGTTTGCGTAACTCTAGAATCCTTCCAGCTGCAGCATTCCAATGCTGAAGTGTTTAAAAGCTTCCTAAATAAATCATTTTCAATACCATTAAAGAGTTCCATTTACAGAATGCTGAAAATGAATCCCTCCCTTTTGATCGTGTTTGGAAGCCAGAATCCCTTCAAATGTGTGTGTTAAAAAGGCCAGTAGTTCAGTAGTGGTACAGAAAGCTTTAGTGTAAATCAACTTCAAATTTCAACTCTGTGTTACTACAGAGGTTTGAGTAGTAGCAGACGTCTCTCCTTGAAGTAGGGGAGACTGTAAACTGAACCTGTGCATCTGTTGAGACACCATATGCGACACGTCCAAATGCAACACAAACCACAAGGAGTGAGTTACACACAGAGCTATAGATTACACTAGCCCTATGAAGGAATAGACCACACGGAGCCTGTATGCAAAGCAGAGAGCTGCTCTTGTGCTTCAGTGTTCTGTACAGAGGTAATTCTACTGTGTGCTTACCTCTTTATAGGACAGCCACTTGTAAGGCTGGTTGGGTAGCCGGGAGCCTAAGCAAGGTCCATCACCTAAAGACAATACAACAACAGGATGAGTAAGGGAAAAACATGAAACCACAGAAACCCCCAAACTATCACATGAAGACACACAGAAGTTATTGACTGACGCTCATGACCACACATCTACAGTACATTTCGATTCCGCTATCTATTCCTTGTATTTAGTTCTCTTTAGCAATCTCTTCACTGTGTACTAACAATACAATGACAGTTGGTCCTCAGCATTATTTTTCAGTCAGTCAGAACCAGATATAGAGAGATACTATCTACTTTATATACAGTCTAGTCTGTCTGCAGTTTGACTTTAGGCCTCAGACACTATTTCCCACACTCAGTTGCCATGGTAATCTAGATGGCACTGTTTCACTCACACAGACAGACCACACAGGCAGGGCACTAGCGCTTTGTCAGACCACAATTTCTGTGTGTGTATATATTACTCAGACCACAGTGTATGTGTGTGTGCATGTCTCTGAGAAAGTGCTAGTGTGTGTGCGTGTGTGCATACATGCGTCTGTCTGTCTGTCTGTGACTGTCTGCACATGTAAGTGTGTGTGTGTGTGTGTGTGTGTGTGTGTGTTTGTGCGTGTGTGTGTGTGTGTGTGTGTGTGTGTGTGTGTACACACCGGCTATGTGGAGGCCTCTCTGGAACACCTCGTACATGGTCTTGGCATCCTCATGGTAGTGTGTCAGCAGCTTATTGGGGCTTTCCCCCAGCATTGACCTGCGACCCCCATCTTCATGCTAGAGACAGACAGGGGGAGATAGACACAGTGAGGCTAGGGAACACACACACACACAGAGAGACACACACCAAAGTAACAACATTACTATTTCTACTGTAGTCCAAATATACAGTAGGTTCGAAATCCAAAATGTTATCCTTTATTCTCTTACTTACGTGAGGATATGATAATGTGTGTATGAGGGTAAATGGAGTGGGTGTAACAGTTGGGTGGAAGTGGTATTGCGTTTACCCTCAGGTAAACCTCTGTGGGGTTTATGTCTTAGTCAGCCCCTTTTGTTGTGTGCTGCCCTGGTGCACAGGGCCTGTATTCACAAAGTGTCTCAGAGAGTACTGATCTTGGATCAGGTACACCCTGTATTATTCCTTTTGATCTAAAAGGCAAAACTGATCCTAGATCAGCGCACCTTCTCTGAGACACTTTGTGAATACGGGCCGAGGTGGCGTATCGCATCCAGAGGAGGAGCTATAGGAGGACCGGCTCATTGTAATGGCTGGAATGGAATAAATGGAATGCTTGGAAACACATCAAATGCTTGGAAACAACGTTTGACTACGTTCCATTGACTCCATCCCAGCCATTACAATGAGCCAGTCCTCCTATAGCTCCTCCCACTAGCCTCCTCTGATCGCATCGTATCTCTGGCTTACCAGCACTTCCTCAGACTGGTGCTGGAGGTTGCAGGGAGGAGAGATGGCGCGTGGCCGTGTGGCCAGCCAGTAGGCCAGCACGGCAGTCAGGGTACCGATTCCCACCAGCGTGGAGGTGGGCAGGGAGCGGAAGAACTGGGTTAACTCGTCCAGCTCAGGCAACTGTAGACTGCTCATTAGCTCCTGGGCCTGCATCCTCTCCATCAGGGTGGAACTCAGCTCTGGGGTGGGAGAGGAGGAGGGGGGAGGGGGGGGAAGAGAAGGGTAGAGAGGAGAGTAAGTGATAAGGAGAGGCGGAGAAAGGAGAAGAGAAAGAGGGAGCAGAGAGAGGAAGAAGATTGAATAGTGGGGAAGAAAGTGAGAGGGGGCAGGGAGGAAGAGAGGGGGGAATTAATTGGGAGGGCGGGGCAGAGATAGAAAAATAGAGGTCAGATGCAGGGTTATGACTTACAGACTTAGGCTATAGCTTGCGGTCATCCCACAAAACAGTAGATCTACAGTGCTGTGAAAAAGTATTTTCCCCCTTTTTAATTTTCGTAACTTTTGCATATTTTTTATACTGAATGTTATCAGATCTTCAACCAAAACCTAATATTAGATAAAGGGAACCTGAGTGAACAAATAACACAACATTACATTCTTATTTAATTTATTTCATAAACAAGGCTATGCAACACCCAATGCCCCTGTGTGAAAAAGTAATTGCCCCCTTACACTCAATAACTGGTTGTGCCACCTTTAGCTGCAATGACTCCAACCAAACACTTCCTGTAGTTGTTGATCATTCTCTCACGTCGCTGTGGAGGAATTTTGGCCCACTCTTGCATGCAGAACTGCATTAACTCAGCGACATTTGTGGGTTTTCAAGCATGGACTGCTTGTTTCAAGTCCTGCCACAACATCTCAATTGGGATTAGGTCTGGACTTTGACTAGACCATTCCAAAACCTAAAATGTGTTGCTTTTTAGCCATTTTCATGTAGACTTGATTGCGTGTTTTGGATCATTGTCTTGCTGCATGACCCAGTTGCGCTTCAGCTTCAGCTCACAGACAGATGGCCTGACATTCTCCTGTAGAATTCTCTGATACAGAGCATAATTCATGGTTCCTTCTATTAAGGAAAGTGGCCCAGGTCCTGAGGCAGCAAAGCATCCCGAAACCATTGGTCTCTGCGTGCCTGGCAGATATCTCAGCTTGGAAGTCAGCCCAGCTTGGATGAGCACCAAGAGGAACTGCCCCTCCCTAACTTCCGGCTATGCTTAAAGCCTACAACCCAACCCGAGCACTCCATTCTGCCACCTCTGGTCTCTTGGCCCTCCCACCTTAACGGGAGGACAGCTCCCGCTCAGCCCAGTCAAAGCTCTTCTCTGTCCTGGCACCCCAATAGTGGAACCAGCTTCCCCCTGAAGATAGGACAGCAGAGTCCCTGCTCATCTTCCGAAAACATCTGAAACCCTACCTCTACAAAGAGTATCTTAATTAATCCCACAGCACCCCCCTATCACATCCCCTCTTTACCTCTTTAGTGAACTAACACTCGCAGTTGACTTTTTGCTGACTTTGCTGATAGCTACTTTATTGAGGAAAAAGGTACTTACTTTAACTGAGATATGTCGTTGTCCCACCTAGCTATCTTAAGATATACATTACTGATTAATACTGAATAATATACATTATTCTGTATGGTTGGTTGGTAGACGGTTGAAATGCTGAATTTGTGTTTCTTCCCTGGTGGTATGAGTCACACAGAACCACAAGCCCGGCCAATCACAATCACTTCCTCCTCGTTCTTGGTTCACTATGCAGCAGAGAGAGACATCAGTAATGACAGTTACAGCAGCCACCACATGACTCAGCCATCTACCAGAACAGAATAGGCCTCACTTCCTCTTCTGTCACTACAAAACTGACACATTCATACACATTGACCCTACATGTCCTGTGAGTGTTTTTAACTACATCCCTATGATTCAGTACCATCTCTATTGAAAGGTCACAGCAAGGTTATAATAATGAGTCATGTGCAACATTATGGTAATACTATTATTGCTCATAGTGCTATGCGGTACATTGTGCTTTTTACAGCAACTGATTTTTCACACATTGCAATTCTATCCCATCCTGACCTTCCTTGTTTCAGTTTCTACTATACCGTATAGGCTTAGCCTAGGCCTAGAAGGCCAGTAGCTAGGGGTGTTGCTGTGTAAGCATTAGGCTATCCATCTCTGGTGGTTTTTTTCAGCCTTGATGAGGGTGAATTATACTGCCAGGCAGTGGTGGAAAAAGTACCCAATTGCCATACTTGAGTAAAAGTATAGATACCTTAATAGAGAGTTACTCAAGTAAAAGTGAAAGTTACCCAGTAAAATACTACTTGAGTAAAATTCTAAAAGTATTTTGTTCTAAATATACTAAAGTATCAAAAGTTAAAGTAAAAGTATAAATAATTTCAAATTCCTTATATTAAGCAAAGCAGACGGTACCATTTTCTTGTTTAAAAAATGTACGGATATCCAGGGGCACACTCCAACACTCAGACATAATTTACAAACGATGCATTTGTGTTTAGTGAGTCCGCCAGATCAGAGGCAGTAGGGATGACCACTTATTCTCCTGATAAGTGCATGAATTGGACCATTTTCCTGCCCTGCTAAGCATTCAAAATGTAAGTACTTTTGGGTGTCAAGGAAAATGTAGGGAGTAAAAAGTACTTTATTTTCTTTAAGAATGTAGTGGAGTAAAACTTGTCAAAAATATAAATAGTAAAGTAAAGTACAGATACCCCCCCCCAAAATATTTATACTTAGGTACTTTACGCCACTGCTGCCAGGTAGATCTAAGAGCAGGGCTACACCTGCCATTACACCCAGAGCCTATTGATGCACATGATTTACATGTGGCTACCCTGCAAAGAGATCATGGCAAAGTCAACCGATCAGTACACAAAACGCGATATCAAAATACAAATCAAACTGAGTTGTCGCCGGTCTAAACATGTTTTTTGGGGGGTGCGTGTAAATCTATTGTCACACAGAGGGGTTGGTGGTGTAATGTGACCTTGCAACGGCTCCATTTACATATCCTAGTACAGCGTTTCCCAAACTCGGTCCTGGTGACCCCAAGGGGTGAAAGTTTTATTTTTGGGCCTAGCACTATACAGCTGATTCAAGTAATGAACTCATCATCAAGCTTTGATTATTTGAATCAACTGTGTAGTGCTAGGGCAAAACCAAAACGTGCACCCCTTGGGGACACCATGACCGAGTTTGGAAAACACTGGCCTAGTATCTTTAGTAAAAATAGCACAGAGGGGAATTACTCTATTGCAAAGGTATATGTAGATATCAAATCAAATCAAATGTTATTTGTCACATGCCCCGAATACAACAGGTGTAGACCTTACAGTGAAATGCTTACTTACAAGCCCTTAACCAACAATGCAGTTTTAAGAAAAAATAAGTGTTAAGAAAGTATTTACTAAATAAACTGAAGTAAACAATAAATCAATAATAATAAAAAAGAAAAAAAATAGAAAATAGAAAAATAACAAAATAATTAAAGAGCAACAATAAAATAACAGTAACGAGGCTATATACAGGGGATACCGGGACAGAGTCAATGTAGGTAGATCAATGCAAATAGTCCAGGTAGCCATTTGGTTAGCTGTTCAGGAGTCTTATGGCTTGGGGGTAGAAGCTGTTAAGAAGCCTTTTGGACCTAGACTTGGCGCTCCGGTATCGCTTGCCGTGCGGTAGCAGAGAGAACAGTCTATGACTAGGGTGGCTAGAGTCTTTGACAATTTTTAGGGACTTCCTTTGTATTGAGGTATAGAGGTCCTGGATGGCAGGAAGCTTGGCCCTAGTGGCCGTACGCATTACCCTCTGTAGTGCCTTGCGGTCGGTGATGCAACCAGTTAGGATGCTCTCGATGGTGAGGCTGTAAAACTTTTTGAGGATCTGAGGACCTATGCCAAATTTTTTCTGTATCCTGAGGGGGAATAGGCATTGTCGTGCCCTCTTCACGACTGTCTTGGTGTGTTTGGACCATGACAGTTCGTTGGTGATGTGGACATCAAGGAACTTGAAGCTCTCAACCTGCTCCACTACAGCCCCGTCGATGAGAATGGGGGGCGTGCTCAGCCCTCCTTTTCCTGTAGTCCACGATCATCTCCTTTGTCTTGATCATGTTGAGGGAGAGGTTGTTATCCTGGCACCACACTGCCAAGTCTCTGGCTAGTTGAATTGAACATGCTAGCGTGAATAATGGGTAGTCTACATGCTTGAGCAACATGGGCATCCTGCTCCAACTCGGGGAATCACACTGTACTTCACGGTCTGTGTCAATGTTTTACTCATTCTAATGACACTAAATTAGCTGATGCTGTTGAGGCTATTGATTTCAAGGTACAGGCATTAGAAGCTCTGGTCTGGGAAGTCTACCCACCTCAACACAAACACCAGTCAACCTCTCTGCTGTCCAAAGTGCTTGTTTAACAGTTTTCATGACGGCCATTGATTTCACTAACATACTAAGCATGAAACACCACAGACAAACAGGCAAGGCCAGAATTATTCACAAGGATTTGGATTGCCTACAATGTAAAGCGTTTACAAAAACTTGAGAGAGACTTTATAGGCCTAATAGTGTAATTAGATAAATATTCTGATCTAACTCTTAACTGAACCTTTCCACTGAAACACATAGGAGGCTATGTTGAGGTAGCATGTTGTGATGTGTCCCAGTCTGTACGGCCTTCCATTATTGATGGCAGCCCATCCCCTGATTGCATCTGTATCATTGTTTGAGGGTTAGTCTATCCTCTCATCCAATAGGGAGTGTCCCTTCTCTGCATTCTTTGTCCTATATTAACCTGGCCCTATGCTAGGCTTGCGGAGGATCACTCACACACAGGTCAGAGCCAGCTATCTTTAGCCCAGGAAGAGTACTACTGGGCAGAGGACAGTGGAAGAGCTGCTCAGGCAACCACCACATCCCAATCCACCATATCGTCATTATCAACAGTAATGACCTTGATCAGATGGACCAATCACATAAGTCGCCTAACACAGCCTAATTCGGGTCATTAGGGACACAGTGAGCTCATGATATTTGTGGTTGGAGGGGTACACAGACAGCAAGATATACACTGAGTATACCAAAAATTAGGAACACCAGTGGTGTAAAGTACTTAAGTAAAAATACTTTAAAGTACTACTTAA